CACTTAGGTGGATTCTATATCTTGACTATTGTGAATAGTGTTGCAGTAAACATGGGAGTTGCAGATATCTCCTCTGATTTGCTTTGGATGTATTAGGTTGATGCATACGTTCGTTGTGTTTGTTTTTGGCATGGCAACACCATAGTGTTAGGAGTATGTTTATTGTTGTCATTTGACAAACATGACAATGTTATGCTTGTGAATACGCCTTGAGTTTTGCAGATCTGAAGAAAGTTGGTGCTCTTTGTGGGCTAAAGAAACTGGCATGTCAAGTGGGAAAAGGGGGAACACTTTCGATGCAGTCTTCTGAGTTTAATAGAGGAGTGAAGGCAGCAAAGTTGGCTCGAAACATTTGTGCCGTGGTCGGGGAGAATGCCATCAGGAAAGCACAGCAAGAACATGGTTTTGTTGTTTCACAGAGAACCACTTTGACCTGAGTGATTCTCCACGTTCAGAAAGACCATCTGACTTTGATGAAGACCATTTAAATGGTTTAATCCACGATGATCCAACCAGAGAATTGACAGTTGTGATGAACTGTGACTGGTTGGCCATTATGTGACATTTGCAGTCACATGGGCAAACAGAAAACTATAAACTTATGCATCAACCTCACATAGCACAGCAACGGGATCGCTGTATCACACGGTAGTTCTAGTTTAGGTGTTTGAAGAAACCGCCATACCGTTTTCCATCGTGATTGTACCAGTTTACATCCCCACCAACAGTAAATAAGAGCTCACCTTTCTCCACATCCTCACCAGCATTTGCTATTTGTGTGGGCTTCTGTCTCAGCTGCCTGTGATAGTAAGATGGTGACCATAGCAGCAGCTCTAACCCTTGCAGTGGTCTCTGGTTTTAAGGGTCGTGCGTTAGGAATAGGAGTCATATTTCCAGAAGTCTGGAGAAAAATCTGGTTACCTTTCATTTGCCCTGATTGGGCCACATGACTGCCCTGTACCAGTCAGAGGGAAAGGCAACATGCTATATTGCCCCATGTTTTGCCGTTGGAGTTGGGGGAGAAGCATATGGGTCAGTTTCATCAAAACACAGAAAACCACAGTTCCTTAAGAGACAGTGAGATGAGTACATCAAGACACACTTACTAGATAGACAGTGGGTAAATGCCGGGCAGCAAAATCAGCAGATGTCTACTACAGTCGGACTGTTGTCATTTTATTCTAGCTTCTTTGGGAAAATGCCACTAAGAACAAATTCAGCAAATCACAGGCTTGCACTGAAGAGAAGAGACACAAGAATCGAAGGAGCTGAACCTCTTTTCTCTAAATAGAACATAGTTTAACTGTCGAAGACAGATGCTTGTTTATTCTGTGCTGAGAGCTCTCCAGCCAAGAGGATTTCAGACATCCTTTCCCCTGCGGATTGTTGCAGGGCTTTGCGACTCTTATTAAAGAGAAACTTGGGAGAGGGGGTATTTAAGATGGACCAGTACATATGTTTAGAGGAAAGCTGAATGGATATGTTATTTCACAGTTCTGGAATTTAGAGCAATAAAAAAGTAAACAGTCTTGCTGGCTCAAAGGGGAGAATCTTTTCATCTCTGAAACAACTTTATTTGGATTATTTTGGCATCTAGAGACACTTTCCCTGTGGCTGTATTATAAAATCACCGCTAATGTTTTCATTATGTTCTGTTGGGCCTCGTGAAACACGACATTATTTGCTGCACTTAGTTGCCATGTGATGGGGCTTTTTAAAAATCTGCATATCCTTTGGTATACTATTAATTCACGCCCTTTTTGCACATGTAATTTTGGAAGCAATTTTCACTGAAATTTCTTATAACACATAAATTTGAGATAATTGGACTGAGGCCTTATTTACCCAAATTGCTCATGCCAGTTCTATTTCACGGGTTTTAAAAGTAGGACATAATTTTGGAACTAGTCTCTGATGATGAACATTTGGGGAAGATTTTTGATCTCTGGGAAAACATTGGTTCCCAATATAGGTAAAATCAATTATGAGTTGCTACTGATGGTAATGTAATGAAACTTTTCGTTATGAATTGAAAAAGACATTTGTTTTTTTAAAAAACAATTTTATTGATATATAGTATTTGTACATACAGTATTTATAGGGTGTATGTAATATTTTGTTACATGCACAGAATGTGCGATGATTAAGTCAAAGTATCTAGGGTATTATTTATCATTTCTATGTGTTGGGAACATTTCAAGTCCTCTCTTCTAGCTATTTTTTTTTTTTTTTGTTGGAGTCTCACTCTGTC